TGTTGGCAAAAGAGTTAAATTAAACAATCAATTTTTTATTAGAGATTGTGAGCATACGCCAAACTAATTGAGAGACTAATTAGTTTTCCTGTTAATATGGCAATGACACTAGTCACAAAGGTAATTTGTGATATTGTTTCATGTTCTGCACATTAGAAGGATTGAAGTCTTGGTAGATCACATGAATTGCATTCTATCTTTGCAAAAGAATGTCCAAGGTGTCAGATTGTGTGTTGGGCTATTTTGTTTGTTTGAGTTAGATGCAGAGTGACTCTAGAATGGCAGTTGATGGCACATGCGAATCTCATGTCTAGGGGACGTCTTAAAGGTTGGTTTGGTATGTGTGTCTGCTGCTATTTGAATATTGGTAAAGGTGTCAAGATTCATGTTTAAGAGAGTTGCAGATGGGTGAAGGAACAAAGTCGGACCAGGAAGAGGTTCATTTAAGAGAGTGATGAGCTGCTTATAGAGGACCTTAGATGTGATGTGAAAGATTTGAGATTCATGGTCTACACAACACAGTTTCTGGTGGATAAAGTCAGAATGTGACTATTACATATGATAGCATTCAATGGATTTGATAATTAAATTGAGTTCTTTTGATTGGAAATGGGACTCCAAAAGATTCCAACTCTATTGAACATGAATCTTGTTGCTAATGCAAGGAATATTAGCTGAGAATCAACCTAAAGCATACATTATATAAAGCTGGGACACAGTTTGGTCTAACTCTATTAACAAACAAATTAGAAACATGTCCAAGATCTCCTAAGTGTTGTTGGACCATCTTCGGCAGCAAATCCATCGACCCCCTCATGCCGAGAACTGTGTATACCAGAGCAATGCCCTGGACAAACAAAATGAAAACTCGATGGCCTTCTTGGTCATGATTCCCGGAGGAGCTCGTGAGGAAAAATCAACAGACTTCTTTCCTTTTCTGTAGCAGACAGTATCCATCAGTTTCGTGGTGGAGGCTGATCTTCAAAGGGAATTGACATCGCATTCCCGTAGAAATCTTCCAAGTTATAAAAGGTTCTTTGCGGAGGTAAGAAAATATGGATCACCACATCACCTGAAAGCAAACAAATCAACATAAACTGTCATTTTCTTATCCCTGCATGACAGGGTCGACCAGAGGCAGGAAAGCAACACAAGAAGAAACTCACCAAAATCCAACAATGTCCATGCATTTGGTTTTACATCTCCATTAGCAACTTTCCCAAACTTCTTCTCAGCCAGGTCTCTCATCCTCGATCTGCATCCAGGGTTCATGATGAAAAAGTGGGTTTGTGATGCTTTTTGCAAGTGGAATAAGAGATATCAGTAAAGAAGTCTAAAGAGATCTCTACCCGATTGCATCGATTTGAGGACGGGAAAATGCAGTAGCTATTATGAAAAACCGAGTCCAGTAGACGAGAGGCTTCACAAAGAGGACCTTAATGTCTCCAGCTTTCACCTCACTCGCAACTTTGGCCATTTCAACAGCAACTGCAAGAATCAATATATCATCAATACACACATTCTCCATCGCTTATAGAAGCCAATAAGTAGAGAAATATATATATGAATAAGGCTTTCGATTACATGTTAAACTCTCTGCATCATCATCTACTTCAGCTGTTACAGACTTTTGATCGTCACTCTTGTAAACAACCTTCCCATATTTGTTGAACAATTCGTCAAACATTTCATCACTATCTTCACCTACATTCTGCACACAAAGACAGTGTTTATTCTCATCTTCCAAAGTGTTTAACACAGTCAAACCCAACTCAACTCAGCACTTGTAGCAATTCCAACAATGTGAAAGGTTAAAACTTTCGAAACTCCAACCATAAAGTTCTAATCTTTCATCGAATTTCTTGCCAATTAATCAAACCCTTGACCATGGAAAAACAATACATAAGAACCCTAAATTTGATTACAACAATCACAATTGTTTTACTGGGGAATTAGAGTTTGATCGTACCGAGAGAAACGCATCTTCAGCTTCCTTTCCCACAGCGAACCTCTGTGAGTTACTGAGAGATGACACAAGTTTGGCTCTGGATAGTCGCCAATAGCAATTCAACTGTGGCGATAAATCTCCGTTGCTGAGGAATGACAATGAAGAAGAACTCTTTCTGGGTATTTGAGATGATAAGGTTGGTAATCGGAAATCTCCGGCAAGTAGAGCTCCGGCGACGGTGAGACCGGTGGAAGACGCCATTTATCGCTGGTAAAGCAGATAGTTTCGAAACTCTTGACGCCGTTGAGAAGCGGATAAGATATTTTATCCTTTAACCTGTGTTTTTTTTTTCACCGTTAAAATGATTAAAAATGATATTTTTTAAAAATTAATCATCATAACGATTACACATGTAAATGTAAAAAAAAAAATAATAATAAATGGTCAACATTTTATGGGTTAATTCGTACATTATTTTGTGATGAGGTTTTATTCATGGAAAAATAAAATAATACTCCATAAACCAATTATATAATTAACATTTTTTGGAGTAAATACATTTTTTGGGTTAATTCGTACATTATATTTTAGGCTATAGTTTATGGAGAGTTGACCGCTATATCTCTAGGAAAAAAAATTGCTACGCCGATTACTCTTTCTCCAAATTATAATTCCAAAAATCACATTGAAAAATTCTTACAGCATCAAAACCCTAAACCGTAGTTGGGCCTAAACTTAAATGGGCCCTTTTCGAAGAGCCATATCAGATAACGAATAAACTTCTCTTTCTTTGTACTAAAACCATTAATTTTTTTTTTTTTTTGGTCACACCAATCTTGTTTAATTTTTTTTTTTAATAAAATTTTGGAAAACTTCATTGGTTGGATTCCAGGCAAGCTTGTTGAAAATGGAATAAATAAGAGAGATAAAATTATCAAAAAGATAAGACTTGAGAATGGATGGACCACTAAAAGCATACTTACTAGAGTTCCCAAATTGGCATAGATCATTAATCATATACATATAAAAAAAATGTCGCACTCTATGATGCGTACATAACACAGAGGGCCAAAAAAACTCAAATGTCACAATCTCACATAGGTCATATCCCACGGAATCAATCGTTATAATTTATGAAAATAAAAAGAGAGGGGTAGCTATTAGACTATACAGACACACACATGTCTCTGCCTGCAAATGTCAATAATATAATGTATATAAATTATATGAAGCAAACAAGTTTGGTTGGGGAAATGTGATAAAATTGGGCAAAGTTATTGTAATTATAGAGGAAGAAGAGAGGGACAATCCAAATAATACAAACTCACATCTACCTTCCTGTCAATGTTTTTATTATTATTATCTCACTTTTTTCTTCGTACCATTTATTTTCATGTTCATTACAATTCTGACCATTTATTTTGCTATATCACATCTTGGCATCTACTCATACAAAGATATTGACATAATAGATGATCCATGGAGAAATGTGGTGTAATGGAATTGGAGAGGACGAACCATTCTTTTTTTTTGCTGACCCCTTTAATTCGCTCTACACATTTTCATGCATTCTCTTAAAGTTGACAGTGAATTCACGTCTCCTCTTGGTCTCACATTTTTC